GAAAACAATTTTGGAGCTAAAATAAAATTTTTCTTTTTAGATTGAAAAATAATGAGTAACTCATTATTGATTACAAAACATGATTTATTTACTTAAATCATGGTTTCTTTTCTTTTCTAGATTTCATTCTAACCCAACAAAAAAATAATAAAAAAAAGAACAAAAAAAAGGGTAGAATGATTCGAATGGACAGGCCAAATCCAAAACAAATGCTCAATGATTTGTTCATATAGAAATGCTCAAGATGCTGTTGAAGTAATTAGTTTTGCTTTCTATCATGTTTCTGCACTAACTACCATATTCTTCTTATTTCTAGGTATATTTCTTACTAGTTAAATTTGCAATTAATCAACCATATTCCTCAAGGTTCATGTTTCTTAGGTTGACGAAGCTGGACTATATTTGTTGGTTGAACTTTATTAAAGTAATCTTTTACTATCAATTATATAAGATTGACAATTAATTTACTTGTAAATGCATTAGTAGATACTAATCGGGCTATAGAGTTCGATGAAACAAATATTAGTGAGCACATTCAGATAATAATAGGTGAAAAAGTGTTTCTTTAGAGAATTTTTGAACAACTGATTTTGTTTTATCTGTCTAGTCAGTCATTAGATCTATTTGTTCATAAAAGAGAATAACTAAAATTAATAAAAAAATTGATTCAATTTTTTTTTATTCAAAGGAGTAATCAATTATTACATACTGATCTTTTCTTTGCATCTGAACATCAAACAAGATTTTATTTTATTATTTTAATAAGAAATAAAATTCTTGAGAGAACTTCAGGTATATATTTATTAGAAATCTTTCTTTTACAAAATATTTCATTTTCTTAAGTATTTATTTTGATCATCCTATTTCAACAATCCAATTATTAGATATGATTGAACAAGATAAACATGCTCGTTTACAAGTACATATTTTATATAATGAAACACGCCCATCGTCAAGTATGAAAAATATGATTTCATTTGAATTTTTTTCAAATAAGATCTATCCTATTTAAAAGAAATATTACCATTTGGTAGTTCATTTAAAAGTACATTATATTTAGGAGGTTTACTCGAATCTTTTCAATTGTAAGAAATTTCGTATTTATTATATAAATAGATTTAATTAGACATTTTCCAATCTAGTCTTTATCAATAGGTTTATCTTGACGAAAATTTTTCAAGGATGTACACATGAATTAGCTATGGATGAACGACGATTAACATTCAATCATTTTTTGTTCTATTATTTATAATTGCTTAATTTATTATTATATGAATCTATTTCAAATCCATGTCGAAATGAAACTCGTTGTATACCAATAAGAAATAATGAGGGCAATAGCTATATATATATATACATGTAATGATTATTTATTATCATTCATTGATCAATGCTCAACAAAACCATGTAATTATGATCAACAATGTATTAATGTATATCCAAATAATGATACATGTATTTTCTTTAAATTCTTCATCAGGTTTATAAAACAAAAAACATTATATTTTCAAAAGATAATAAAAATAAAATTTCATTTGAATAGATAATCCATATATAGCAGGATTCTATGCAAATAGTTATATTAAACGTCCATCTCTTCAATCAGTAGAACAAACAGAATAATTTACTATTGAAATATGGTTTCTTAGTGAAAGTCTATGAGGTAAAAATTTTAATTAAATATTTCTTTTTCTTATTAAAATATACATATTGTTCTACATTTATTCAGGCTTATTATTAGATTAGTGATCATATAAATTCTAAACAAGGACATTTTACTATTTTCTTCAATGACGAATGCTATTATGTAATATTATGATAGGAAGCAAAACTATTTCACTAAGATAATAATAAATGATTGAAAGAATATTTTCATAATAGAATTTTCTAATTAAACAAAAATAAAAAGTCGTTCTTTTCGTATTTTGTCAGTGCAATTAAAATATAAACATTGAATTATTATTGATATATGAAACATTGCTAATAGTTTTTCTTCGAATCTTATATCGCATAAATCAACAATATAGTCATCGAAATCTTTTGTTAACAAGATGATTTTCTTTTATTATTTTTAATAACAAAATTATAAATTTATTTGAAAAAAGAACTAAAGTCAAATTGAAATATCATTAATAAGAAAAATAAATAACATTGAGATTGTATCAATAATTTCTTTCCACATCATTCAGAGTTCTTCATATCGATAGATTCGATGAAATCTCATGTTTGACATGATCCTAAGGAGCTTTGCCTATTAAATCTAATCATCTAAGTTTGTATATATATATATATATATATATGTCCTTGCAGTTTTGTTGTAACTTTCAGAACTGAAAAAGTTTTTACTTTTAATACAATTATATTCTCCTATATGATAATTATTCGTATTCAATTTTAGTTCTCGATATTCAGTCAAAATTCATGGTCAAAAATTAAGTTTAATAGTCGATCAAATATCACCTGCTGTAACATATGAATTATTTTCAAGAAATATGTTTTGACCACGTTCATTTACATTTATTGGTAATTTACTAATACAATATCGTGCTATCCGAAGGATTTCATGATGCAATACAAAAAGTAAAACAAAATATATTATCGTTTTATATTTTCATTTAGATTCTTATTACTAATTATCCATTGAATGATATTCATCAAGATGCAATTGAATTATACAATAGAAGTAAATATGATGGATATATTCATGCCAACCAGTTAAATTTACAGTTAAATGACATGAAAATTTTGATGAAAATTTTCTAATATCAAAAATACGTGTTCGTGCTGGTCAATGGCATTGGATCGAAATTGAAAGGTATTTAATTTAATTAAAGTAAACTTATTAAAAATCTGTTTCTATTTAGATTTCATCGTCGTATGATATTATCAAGTCGAATAATTGAATTTCGTCTATATTCAACATATATTTATATTGGTAGTTATCATTATTTATGCAGTTATAATGAACAATATTGTCGTACATATTGTGGATGTTAAAAGAACTTTTTTATTGATAAATATTTTCTTGATTTACTTAATGATGAAATAAATCAACGATATCCATTAAAACAATGTTAAACTATCGCCGGATGAAGAAAAAAAA